GGGAAAATCATTTTAGGAGAGAGCGTTGGTGAGTTTTGTGGATATGGATGAAACCAGGTTACGATGATGCACTGTTGCACATGTATATTTTCATGGGAAAAATGTCTGTAGTTTGTTCTGTGCCCACAAACTACTCATCGTTTAACTTTGTTAAAATCATGAATCAATTCCTGACTGCAAATGCTGTTGTCTTGGAATTTGGAAAGTAAAAGAAAACACAGAAGCAAGTGATTTTCATACTATAGTGAAATTAAGCAGGGGCTGACAGAAAGACAAACTATATGTAAAACGTGTATGAACATAAACTATACTAAATGTAAGTTAAACACCACTGTGGCTCTGTAATACACTGTAATACACTGCATTAACATTCAGCAGACAAGTAGTGCATGTATGCAGATGGCTTTAAGCTAAAATCTGTTGGGCTAAATTCCCACAAAGTCAGTCCTTTAAGAGTCTGATTAAATTCCTGCATCTATTGTACAGTAAATGTGTGTATGTGTAACGACCTTGCTCAGAGATGTGCTGATGTGCGACAGTCAGTAGGCCCAGGTGATTGACAAGAGACCCCTGAGAATGCTGGGAAACGAGATAAGCTCTGCAGCTCGGCCCGTTTTGTGGGTCTCAAAAACCCAAGAGAACAGAGAGAGAGAGAGAGAGAGAGAGGGAAAAAAGACAGAGAGAAATTACAGAGAGATTACACAGCGGGAACAGAGCCGGACAGACAAGCAGACTCACGTAGAGGAGAGAAGGACAGAGGGAGAACGAGAGAGAGTAATTTGCTGGAAATAAAGAGTGACAGGACAGACAGAGCCTTAGAAAAAAGAGAGGAATTATAGGAGTCTTTCTCCTTTTACCCTCTCTCCTCTCATCCGTTATCAGCCATCGGGGCACTCCATCACTCTGGATCCCATCTTCCTTAAGACAGTTTCACTCTCCTCTCTCAGTCTCTGTCACTCAGTCTTCTTTCGCCTCACAGTCTGAATTCAGCTGCCAGCTTGAAACTTACATGATTTTTTTTACTGCCCTGGCCTTGTGGGCCTTTAGTTGACCGCTATTTGTGGAGCTGTAAAATTACTTTTTCTCCTCTCCCTCCCTCTAACAACTTTACATGATTGCGTCTGTGTGGTTACATGATCAGCATCCCCAGAAACAACACCGCCCCCACAATGCAGACACATACGCAAACAAACACAGACTTCTTCAAGGTGACCTTCAGGCTCCAGATCAGACATACATGTGCACAGTCTTGAGTCAAACAAGTAACTGTCAATCACCCACTTGCTCCGGGCAATGAACAGACATGACTGCTGTCAATCCTGTGTCTCCAAGCAGCCAGGAGTGGCAGCCCAGGCCATAATTAAAAGAGCAGCCTGCTCAAGATATTCAACAGTAGACTGGAAGGTAGACAGTGTGTCTGCAGCTGTATCTAAATCTAAAATCTATATAAATCTTTGGCGGCTGTGGCTCAGGAGGTAGAGCAGGTTGCCCATTAATCAAAAGGTTGGTGGTTCAATCCCTGGCTCCTCCAGGCTGCATGTCAAAATACCCTTGGGTAAGCTACTGAACCCCTGGTGGCTGTTCCACCAGTGTGTGTGAAAAGTGAATGCAGATGTAGAGTGAAAATGCTTTAAGTGGTCAAAAAGACTAGAAAGGTGCTATATGGAGCATTTACATATTACTGACATATTTTGCACTTTATGTACATTTTTATTTCATTCATAAATAGCTCTGAGTGTCACTATGGACACAGAGTAACAATAAACACGAATGATGTTAGGACCTTATGGGTCTTATAAGTCAGCAGCAACTCGCATCATCCTTCCAGGTCTTATTGGTGGTATGACCAATTGGCTTCTAAAAAGGCTCAAATTTGGATCCTTATTTTCTATACTAAAGCTGAGACGGACTGACAGACTCAGGCATCAAACAGGGATGTAGCATTTAAATATTCTAAATAAAATGAATATTTCTCAGGCAGTTTATGTCCATTATCAGGATCAGAGCGCATCATTTTTTGAACGTTTGCATGCTTCAAACCACAGCCACCTTTCCGTGCCCTGATGATAACTGGTGGCCCAGGACAAGCAATTTGAACACATCACCCCAGGCTCTGAGAAAGCGGGATGGGCATTTTTTTCACCTGTTTGTTACGTTTGCATTTTTCAACAAATAGTTTTTGTTCAATTAAATCATTTCCTGTCCATACTGACTGTGAAGAGATCTCTTCCTAATGCGGTTACTAATGCAATTACAGTGGGATGTGCAATACTACCTAACAACCCGTAGCTATCAGCTATATTGAATTAGTGGTAGTATTAGTTCAAATGTTTTAATGTACACGATGTATCATATACCCAAACATCTGCTGTATTCCTTCACTACAACTGACAGCAGGCATCACTTCCCCAAAACATTAAACACTTATGTGGGTAATAAATTAGCGCTCATGAAAACGAATCAGTCAACTGGTGGTTGAATAACATAGAGAAAGAGAGACGGGCAGCATGGAGAAAGAGTGAGAGATGAGCTAAGAGAGCACCACAGAGCAGCACTACAGACAATCAATAAAGAAAAATAAAAGACCCTGACATGCCTGGGCCCCACAGCCCCACCCAACACTGTTACAATGGCTTTTCTTTTGACGTCACATGGAAACCCAGTGAGACCACGATGAGCACTGATCTTCGAGGTTATTGATGGCAAACTTTATTTGTATGATGACACACTAAGCACAATCTTAAAATGCTACTTTACATTCTAAAATTAAACCGCAAGCTTCTGAACTCAGACTTTTGTCAAGTAATGTGTGTTAAAAGCTTTGGGGTCAGCATATTAAGGCTGTTTCTGTCATTTTTGGCAGTCATCCCAGCTGATTCATTTGTGAAATACTGTAGTACTGAGGAAAATTCAAACTGTTGGAGAGACACAATTGCCATAAATTCTGGAATCTGGAATATGCAATGATTTGCTTAGTAAAGTAAACTGTGCAGCACTATTGATGCATTCAAATCTGCTGGTGTATCATTCTTCTGTTCTCCTTCTCATCCTCCCAGCCTGAAAACTAGCAGGGGACTTCCTTGTGTTGATTGTCTCTTTATTTGCACTAATTGCTGTGGTTCTTTGGACGAAGTTTCTTTAGGTGGTATTCAGCCATGATTCTGAATCATTCACTACTAATGTCATCAATCCATTTTTTTTATTTGTTATATAACCTACTTGTGTCACTTATATTAAAGAGAAGAGGTCATCTCCTCTATGTAATATGTAAGAGGCTGAGACTTTCTAAGACTTGGATTCAGGCTTAAATATTAAACAAACTATATTTCTGTAGATTGTTCCAGTGGAAAATGTAATTGATAAGTGATAATAAAAAACATGGACACACTAATTATCAATATAATGCTACCCCTGGTAAACCATTGGCTCTGAATAATCTCTAATAACATTTGAACAGCATGTCATCTTAACCAGGTTTTAAAAATGACAGTTTTTTGTGTTTGCATTCAACAACTGCAGATCTCAAAAGGTTTTGATAGCACTGCTAGCAACTCATGGGAGCTGTAGTTGTTAAATGCTAACTAACAAATGATGGGTTTATCTGATTAAACTGACAAAGCGGTCAGTTTTTACTGTCATGTGCAGTGGACACCAATTCTTCTTATCACCAGAATCATATTTCTATTTGAGCTTTTCTTCAAAAGATCCTTTCAGAGCTAAGAGCTAATGTCAGTAGAACAGATGCTAACACAGTTTCATTCAGAGGATTCTTTTTTTGCAGCAAGTCAGAATTAAATGAAACATAAACACAATAAGACAATGCAAGACATTAAAAGTTCTGGTACTATGAACCTTTAAAATAAAAGGTATATGATAAAATCAAGGAAAACAGCAACACGAATAATAAAGATATTAGACAGTATTATATAGACATATATAGACAGTATTGCTAAGCTGTTTGAGGCAGTTTATAATGTATTAGTATTTAGAACATTTTGCAATTAAGAGCACTTATTGTTAAGTGGAGTAGAATTTTGTCTCTCTATAAATGGCAAGGTGGTCATTTATTGATCAGAAAATGTGACACATTTGTTTTAAGGTTGCTTTCACAGCTTTCATTTCATATGACTAACAAATCAAGAGCTGTAGACTTTAAATTAGTCATATGGTTGCATGGACCCACAGAGGAAACTCTCCTTCTGCTGAGCACTCTGCTGAGCCTTATGTTTATGTATCTTCACTAGTGTCATAGCATGCAGCAGCAGAACTGATTGTGAATATTATTAGTCGGGATTCCAACAAGACCACCTTCTCAGGGGCTCTTGGTTTTCACAGCAGCTTAAATGAGCCATCTATCCCAGAGTTCATCTGAAGCATATCCAACAGTACAACACTATGGCAACTAATGCTACCTCTGTCTCTACTGTAGGGTTACGGTTAGGGCTTCTTCTGGAGTGAGACCAGTAGCTTGCTGCTCCAGTAGATGGAAACCAAATGCTAAAAAGACACAGACATCTCAGAAGGGACCACTAACATCTTGTGAAACTAAACAGGTTACATGTTCCAGCAGGGGTTGATTGCCATTAGGCGTCTTGGCAGCCTCAGTTGTGTCTGTGTTTTCAAGTTTCAAGAGTGCATGACTGAATATGGCAGGTTGTGTAAACTCATTTCTATGAATTTTTATGATTTTCCTCATTTCCCCTCATTCATATTTATCATGTTTTGGAAGGACTAGCTTGACAACACGCGTCAGTATGTACCCACCCACCTTGTCGTGAATATTTATGAGCACAGCAGCAGTGAGAGGAGACTGGGCACAACACTGGGGGGACCAATAAACATGAAAACAGTACATCATCTTGAAGAACCCGAGCCAAAATCAGTTTGGCGTTTACTGGCACAGCAGTGAGCCTGGCTTTTCCACCCAATATCAGATCTACAGTAGCCTCCTGTCATATAAAGAGAAGGTGAGAACAGAAAGATACAAGGGCACTCCTTACCGTTGTAGAGAGGCAGGCTTGCTTAGACACATGATGAAGTGGACTTCCATTTCACTGGACGCCACAGACTTAGAGCAGACAGGACACTTGAATCCTAGGAAGAACAGCAGAGAACACATCAGTGAAAAATTCTAATATATTCAGACCTCTGAAATAAACCAGCTTCATCATCATCCGTTTTTGTAAAGCACCCTTAAACCAGGCTGCTTTTAAAATCTTTACATAATGAA